CCTCCGCAGAGGATCAAAATTGTGATGGCATGTCTTCGGATCATCCTCCGGGATGTTTCCCAGACCGTCGCCAATAGCCCATTGTGCAGCTCTAGTGCGACGTAAATTAACAACAACAACAACAGTTTTTTTGCATGAATGTTGACACTATATTAAAGAAAAATTTGGGGACCCTTACAAGTTAAAGATCAAATTAGTTTTTTTAAAAAAGGAAAGAAATTATAAATATTTATTTTTGGTATGTAATTTGAGGTTGAGATGCTCCCCTTCACAAGAACAAAGCCTTGGGCTCGTGTCCCGAATTTTTACCCGTAAACGCACTACGCATCTCCTATCGTCTTCGAGGAAGAAGACGATCGTCGAATGTATTTACTAAATACATTCTTCAGCAAAGAAATTGTCCCGCATTGGACTGATCGTTAAGACATGGTTCCCAGCAGATCACCGAAGTCAAGCATCACTGGCTGCGGTCAGTGTGCGGGTGGGTGACCACTTGGATCAGTCTGCGTTGGGACCAAGGGTGTGCGGTATTGATCCTCGTTAAACTGTTCTACCGTAAAGTGCTCGACTTCGCGTGCAGGTCGTCGGGCTACCAAAGCGAGGGTGCCAGCCGCTCTGCGGAGGATCAAAATTGCGATGGCATGCCTTCGGATCATCCCCAGGGATGCTTCCCAGACCGTCGCCAATAGCCCATTGTGCAGCTCTAGTGCGACGTAAATAAACAAATCAAATCATCAGCAAAGAAATTGGTGAAATGATATATAGTGTGCCAAAAGCCAAGAAGAAAATTTTAAAAAATGAACTGACCACCCTGAATAACTTTTGGTTTAATGATCATGTTTTATAATCTTCATGTTCATGTTAATCTTCAAGTTTTATAAGACTCCTTAGCGCCTTCTGACAACTCATTTTGTTGACACGACATTTTTTTTTCAAATTGGCTAATAGATGCATTTTCATAACTATTTTGCATTCACATATTACGGTGAATATATTCACATACTTCGAAGAATAATGTACTAAGTGGGTATGTGCCCTGTACATACGCTCGATTCCACCGTCTTTTTGCCAGCAAAAAGCCATTTGTTATATTTAAACACGTCTATGAAATAAACTTTATAAATAATATATATAAAAAAATTGGTTCTTGACAAAAATTTGATAGTGGAATATTTTTTCTTGAATTTTATACCTAAATTAGCTTCTTATTAAAATTAGCTCTTAATAAATTGATAACTTCTTATAAAATCGCATCATCGATAGATGTCGTAAAATATTGTAATCCGGATATCACAAATACCTTTGATATCCTTCGGCGTTCATCAAATATTAATCAGTATCTTATAATATCAGTTTTCTACTTAGGAACAAAAGGTTTTATACTTCATAATTGCTTTATTCACACATTTTTATTTTAACCTATATTTCTGGAGAAATTAATTTCTTTTATTAATTTATATATAAATATGTGTATAAAACTCTAAAGATCATTCGAATTTCTCAAAATAACAATAATAATAATAAAATCACCAATGTGTTTACAAAAAACTCCTAATAGAAATATAGCAATCGTTCTTTTTTCAATCGAAAAATACAATTTACACTTTCGCTTGGTTCTTATTTAACAGAAAAAAAAACACGTTTTTATCTATCTTCAAAGAATTAGTAAGAATACAACGCATTTTATAGGAATTGTTATCAGCTAAGTGGGAAATCTGGCAGTATAGACAATGCCGAAAATCGACTGGCTAAATATGACGTGATTAAGCATTTTACACATTGCCTATAGCATATAATGCCAAAGTATGAAATAATAAGTATGAATATGATCATAAATCATTAGTGTAAGTAATTTTTTGTGCAACATATAGGTTTGAATTTTATTTTTTCTTTAAGAAAGGCGCCAATTTTTAGTAATCGACATGCGACATTAATAATAACCACATTAACTGAGATAATAACTCAGCAGTGATCTGTTGACCATAAAATGATATTCCCTACACAGAGATTTTCTTAAGGTTAAGGGCAATTGTCAGGCATTCCTCACATTGATGTTCTTTTTTAAGAAAAAGGGTCATAAATGATAATTATTATACAAAACTTATGCTCAAAAGCGTGCACGTTTCTCACAATCTTACATTTTAGTGGCTGTTTCTAAAAATATACATCGTGAATGTTTCATTTTCACGAGACAAAAAATCTAAACAAGAAGAGAAATTATACTCATTGCAAAAGCTAGTTTATCTCGATACATACATATTCTAAACGGGAATAGTTATTCTAAGAAGCTTCAAATTTGAATTTATTTTATTTCTGTAAATGGCAAACGTATTAAAAATCCTCCTTTGAAATCTAGCAAATTTTAAAGCCAAGATAGACAGTTTAGAAGCAAAGAACTTCTACAAATTGGCATCTGAAACTGCTTGAGTTGCAGGTTTGTAAAACGAACTTCTAAGCTACCCCTTTATAAAGTCAAACTAGCTATATTTTCAATAAAAATTTGAGTTTCGACTTTAAAAGTTTGAAAATATTAATATAATAATAACGTTTTGAGAAACAATATAAAGTTCTTTCTTTTAAAAAAAAATAAAGAATGTTTATAGTAGCTATTTCTATCAAGAAAATATAACTTTCACAGAAATTAATTTTCGAATAGTCCATTGTAAGGTTAAGCATGTAGCCATCCATATTTCATAAACATACTAGAGATTTGACGGTTAATGCCAGAAAAATTTACTTTATGGTATGCAAAAGAAAAACAATATTTGCAGAGCTATTTAATTTTGTAGAAAAAATTTAAGTCTAAAAAATGAATGTTCTATGTTGCAAATTTAGTAAAATAAATTTCTACGATAAATATCGAATATGATAATGTCATGAGTATTATGGATAACAGTAATTATTAAAAACAATTTAATCATGAGTGTTGATAAATTTCATTCGAGTTTCATTAAAAAGTATCCCAAAATATCACTTCTTACTGATATATTGTGATATTAAAAACGTAACAATGCCCAGTATTAGTCTGTATTTAAATTTTAAACTATTATGTAGGCACCATTCTAAATTATCACTTCAGCTTTTCTTTCTCTTATTAAATAAGAAGAATATTTGATCAATAATTACGTGGTGATTATCTCCTTAAAATTTAGTAATAATCTTCTTAAAATTTAATAATAATCTACTTAAAATTTAATAATAAAATAATACCCAAGAGTAGAAATTTAAGAGAATAATTATTATGCTGACTTTTATTTCATATTTGGTTAGTAATTATCGATAGCATGCAACTAAAAATATCAAGAAATTTATAAATCAATAATAAATAACAAATATAAGGCTCAGAGTGTTTCAATATATCTATTTCAAACTCCATAGAACCATTACAATATAAGTATAAAAGGCATATTGCAAATTATCACAACAGCTTTTCTTTTTCTTATTAAATAAGAGGAATATTTGACCAATAATTAGATGGTGACAATCTTTTTAAAATTTTAATAATGATCTTTTAAAATAAGAAAATATCCAAGAGTAGAAATTTAAGAGAATAATTATTATGCTGACCTTTATTTCATATTTGTTTTGTAATAATCTATAGCATGCAACTGAAAATATCAAGAAATTTATTAAACAATAATAAATAACAAATATCAGACTCAGATTGTATCAATATGTTTATTTTGAACTCCATAGAACCATTACAATATCAATATAAAATTCATATTGATTTCTAACTCTGTACTTTACATTTACAATATCAGTATAAAAGGCATATTTATTCCTATTTCAGTACTTTTCATGACAATATCATTATAAAAAAAACATACTTTTTACAAGTGCATTCAAAATAGAGATCCTCAGAAATAATCTATACATTCTCATTACCCATCAAATGTATAAGTTATAAATGGCATTTTCAATATAAGGCAGAAGTATAAAAAAGTTTATGAAGTAGAAAGCCATTTTATAAAAATATATTCCATTCACTAAAAACTTGTAGAAAGCTAATGCAATACTGAGCAATTTTATGATTGGGTGGAAGTTATTTAACATACAACAGTTAAAAAAGAAGAGTAGATGTAAATTTCTTTAAATATCATGAAGACTTCAAAATTTAGAAACTCTAGGAGGTCAAACTCTTTTGGAAAGGTTAGGATCGACATTAAAGCGAAAAATTATAGTAATTTGCCAAATTCTACATAAAAAAATAAATAATAATAATCATAATTGGGGGAAAAAGTTTTTTTTGTTGCTAAACATCTATAAAATTCTTTTATTACTTCAATTGGTTTTAATTTAGTTGAATTCAATCTAATAATAATTGATGAATTTTTTTAATTTGTCGGAAATATTTGGGGTTTTTAATAATTAAAGTAGGCACATATTTGCTGTCTACATACCAGCAATGTCTATAGTTTATAAACATTTTATAATAAATTAAAATAAGCTTTATCAACATTTAGTTTGTTACATTAAAAGAAAAATTTTCTTCCAAATTTTGATTCATTTAAAATAATTTTGTATTAAATTTAGTAGCAATATAAAACAAAATACCCAGAAACATTAGGATTCTAGTATGATGGAACATTTATTTATTTAAAAATCTGACAAAAGGCTTGCAACAAAAAATAAATAATGATAAATACAGTTTAAAGATATATCTTTGAATTTCAGGTTTAAAGATTTATTAAACAAAGTACGAAGGAAACATTTATAGATATTTTATTTCAGGAATTAGTTTCTAAAATCTGGTTTAATTAATAAGAAAAACTTGAAGAAAACTGAGCAGATTATTACATATAATTAGCCAACCATTCATTAATTTAAATACACTTCTGTATTTGTAGTTTTACATGAAAAGCATGGTTTGTAAAACTGCTTCTATTCGTTTTTGCAAGCAACTCGAATAATTTAAAAAGGGGAGAAATTGGTAGGTTTAGCAATATCAAGTGAGCATTAATTATTTGTATTTTTTTTTAAACTTACAAAAAAAGCAAGGAGTGTAATGAAATTAATGAGTAATACTATCTTTATAATGATTGATTTCTAGAAAATCAGAATGATTTGATAGAAGAAAACAGTTTATTTTTTTTCATATTAAAGTTTCCTGATAAAAACTACGTAAATCTAGGTGCTAAAATTTTATAAATTACAAACCAATATATAAATTTATTAACTTTTTCCTAGATTTTAATTCCAAATTTACAAATAACAATAATGGTCTTATACAGCATAAGTTGGCCTTGTATAACATAAAAGAATATAAGAAAAATTACAGCATAAGAGAGAAAACTTTCTTTAAGTATTGCAATGATTTTTTTCAGTATTGCTTTATACTTTGATTATTTTATTTAACCTCATGGCAATCTTGTACACAGTTTTATTAAATAAAACTATGTTTGTTAGGAAAATGATTCTGTTAAACTCTCTGGGTTTTGATATAATTTTTGCTTTAAATTGTTGTAGTCAAATTGAGAGTATTCAGTTTGTTAACATATTTATTGCTCTAATATTAAGTATAATACAAACAAAAACAAAAAAACATACCAAAAATGAAGATCATAGCAAACAAGATATACATCTTTCGTACTAATATAAAACAAATATAAATAAAATTGAAAAAACAAGACTGCAGAGTAAAATATATTAAACAAAATGGTTGTTTCTACAAATTTTGTACTCAAAATTATTCATCAACCATTGAATCAATTGCTTCAAAAACAAATGAGAAGATAAGATAACTTGACAGTTATTTAAAATAACTAAAGTATAAAAATCATAATATAGAAAAATAGTTTTTCGATAAAGTAAATTTCATGATTATAACTTTATAATCAATTCACAAAATAATACTAATTTTAAATTAAAAAAAAATCATATGTTTACAGTGTCAGTATGATGAAAATATAATAATATAAAGTACAATTACAAATAACATAGTTGATGGACAATACATAGTGTAGCAAAAGCACCTGTAAAATAAAATAAAATTTTAATAAAAATATAATTTTTAACAGTCTATGCTTTATTTATACTTATGCTGATATTTATAGCTTTAAAATAAAAATGTACATGAAAAGATATAAAAACTCGATAAAATAAAACTGTTGAGATGCTTTAAGTTTTACAAGTTTCAAATAGAAACAAAATATTTAAATAGGTTTCAAACTTAAATAAAACTTTTAAGTACTATAATCTGAAATCAATTTTAACTTTCACAAAATGTTTTGATATTTGAACCTAAAACTTTTTGATATAAAACTTTTAAAATTTATGAATAAAAATTTTCAAGATAATTTATTAGCTCTGATTTATGAATTGAAAGATGAGTAATTTTTATTAATCCTCGAATGCTTGGAAGATTACTAACATAATTTAATCAAATTAGATACTTAAATTAAATAATGTTCCAATACAATGAGTAATCTAATATTCATATAATAACATTCAGAAAAAGAAGAAAAAAAAGCTTCTATATATTTATTTCAACAAAAACTGATGCTAGAATTTAATTTTAAAAAAAAACTTGGTCAAATTTTACAAAACAATATCTTTTTAAAGTTTGAGCATGAAATAATTTAATAAAAAAAAACTTTAAATTGAAAATAAATGCAAAATAGCAATAAATTCAGAATCTAGAAGTTGACTCTTTTACAGCATTTTCATTGAAATTAAGCACAGAAAATTACAGTAAGTAATTATTTTTTTAAAAAAGTAACCTTATCACCACTCATACATGTATTTATTACTTTAAAATTGTCTTAAAATTATACCAAAAAGGAAATATTAAGAATAAAAACTTACTAGGCACTTTGATGAAATTTAAAAGAACTTTATCATTCGAGTTAGAGTAGAATTAACGGAGGGTATTTGCTTTTTCAGATGCATACTAGGCTCATGTGGAGTGTAACTTTCATAACTGAAAGCTACTTTATAGTTTACTATGGTTAAAATCGACAACAAATCTAAGTCTTTAATGTTTTCTTGAATGGCTTCACATAATGCTTGTATAAACCAAGATCCATGGGTAGTATTCCTCCATGAGTAGAATCCTATAATATACAAATGCATTACTATAAAAAAATCATATCAAAACTTAATCAGTCATCAGATTTTATTTAATTGTAAAATATAAACAAAAACCTAAGAAAAGCATAAAGAAGATATGGTTATTTATTAGCAATTAATTTTAAGGCAGTACAACATATTTGTTTTGTACAAATTCACCTTTGTTGTTTATTTTTTTATTTTTATTGCAAAAGCACTTGACTTTACATCATTGGCTCTTGGCATTACATCATGCATCGAAGATGCATGAGATTGGAGCACATAAAACAAAAACTGAACCATTGAACAATACAAGAACATTGTTGTTTCTTATAAATCAATATATATTTCACTAGCAAACATTAGAATAATTATTAGTAGTAATATTTATTTTAATTTTATTTTAAAGTATTTCCTTCTACTAGAAAAAACTTGTAGAAAATACAACTAAAGTATTTTCTACTGCGAAAGATTTTTTTTTAACTGTTATTTTATAGCTGGTGTAAGATCAAAATTGCATCATAAATCATAATGGCTCAATCATAACAGCTCTTTTTTATTCTAAAAATAAAATTTTTATGTAAATAAATCAAGAAGCAACTGTTGGAATATTTTTTAAAAGATGTAAGCTATTTGGTTTTTGTCTCTAACTAATAGCAAACTTTAAAATGACTGAAGGGTTTGGTATAATATAAAGAGAAACCACAAAATTTTTTAAGGTGACATTTTCACATTAAACTATTCCTTAGTTTAGTTTCCAGATAAGAACTTTTTAAGTTTTGAGAATTTTCATTAAATAACTGCATAATATATTGCCAATTACACATTACCTATAAAAAATTTTTGGTGATTTCTTACCATGAATGTTCTCCTGAACAATTTGAAAATGTCGCTTCAGGTGTCATTGGCTAAAAAACATTCCTTAAAACGTCATTTAGAATTTTAAAGTGATACTATACTACAAAATGCTAAGAATTTATTTTGGAACAGTTGCTTTTTGGAGATGTATTAGTCTATGTGAGCTCCATAAATGTAACAACGATTTTCCATGTGTAGACTACAAGGTGTTGCAAGATTAATTTTAGTCAAAGAGAATAAAATATTCTAGGTTAATGCATAGAAAGATCATTACTTCACCTTGTTTACACAACAAATGCAATCTGGAATCAAAAGTATATGTATAGTGCATAATCAACTCATGTTTATAGTTGTTTTATTTTATTACATAATGGTAATTTTAAATTAAGAAAAGAAATTCAAACTGAATGAATAAATGCTTCATTTCAAAAAAGTAAGATACACAATTTATGTAATAAGTGCTTGTTGGTGTAAGATAAAACCTGAGGACATGATTTTATTATTATTTCACTTTTTTCATTCCCATTTCAAAAGTAGCTGTCCTTTACTTTCTTTCAAAAAAGTAAGATACATAGTTTATGTAATAAGTGCTTGTTGGTGTAAGATAAAACCTGAGGACATGATTTTATTATTATTTTACTTTTTTCATTCCCATTTCAAAAGTAGCTGTCCTTTACTTTCTTTCTAAGTGCATTAAATATAAACAAGAAAGAATCATGTAGATAAGAGTATAAAATTTACCTGGAACAGTTGAGTAAACTATCAAAAAATCTGCACAAACAGGAATTTTTAATTCTTTACTATCATTAGAATCAGTAGTTTCACGACATTCAACTGTAACCCCACAATCAAGCTGATCACCTTGGCAAGCCTGAAAAAGGAGATAAACTTAAAAAAGGAGTTAATAATACAAAATATAGTTTAAAGAATGATAAGATTGGTTTTATTATCAAGGCCAAAAAGCAATATTATAAAGGTTGACCTGCAATCTTTTAAAAATAAATACTTGTTTTTTTAAGTAAATTTATTGACTGTACGTTTAATATATAAAAATACAGGCATGGATTTATTGTTCTTATTCTATTTAAAATAGTTTACAAAATAAATTCTACGCAATTATTTGCATATAGGGTTAGTGACTAAAATTTTTCTCTCAAGATATTTGCTCACAGTGAGTTCGATAACTCTATCAACTTTATTCAATTTATTTAAAATTGTAATAACCTGTGTAAACAATTGCTGCAAGCATGCAATTTTTAAAACAATGATCTGTAAACAAAATGACAGTGCATAGAACCAATATTATGCAAAAAGTTATAGTTTAATAATTAAACAATAAAAAGCTACAAAAAAAAGCTAATGACCAATGAACATTATTAAGAATGAAACTGGAGGAAAATTATATAAATTAATGTGCATGAAAAAATAATATTTTGAGAAAACATTTTTCACACATGCAGATTCTTTAAAACATTTAAACACTGATAAAGTATTCTAAACTCATATTCAACATTAAAACAGGCAACATTTTATTTTTTGCATGGTATGCAAACATTTTAATTTTAGAAATAAAACAAAACAATGTAACAACAAAATTTAAATATTATAAAGAGTAATACAGAAAACTATTTATATGAATCTTTAAAATCATAAATTAGGATATAAAAATGTTTTAAATTGAAAAAATTACCTGTATGAAAAATATCTTCGGTTTGCCAGCTAATGAAGGGCAATTATCACCTCGGAAAGGAGTAAAGACAGTGTCAGTTGTGTACTTTCCATCTGCAGCATATAAAACTCCTTGCTCACCATGGCTTAATATACAACAAACAAAGGCACTGTTCTCTCCATGTTCTTCTTTACTGGCTAAAAAAGAACATAAAAAGTTTCAGCACTTAGTTGTTCTAAAGCTCAAATCAAACATTTTAAATAGTAATTTTTTTCTAAACAAAAGTGTTATGACATATCATACAGCAAAGAAGCATAGTTAAGTATAAGTTGCAAGGTTTAACTAAAATTTTGTGAGTTAGCACCTATAATAATTTTGTATTTTGCTGTTTATAGATATTCACATTAAAAAAAAGATTAGTTTTTCTAAATTGATTATTCCCATCATATCTTTGATCTAGATATACTAGAAATTAGAACGAAATTTAAATACAAAATAGTATAACTTCATTAATTGTGCTTTAGCGTTCATGAGAATGTATTCAGCTATAAAGTTCTATTATATTCAAACTTGAAAGAAGAAAAAAGTTTTGCTTTCTGAAATTTTTTTAATGTTTTTTCCAAGTGGAAAAAACTATTTACACTAATGTATGTGAAAATTGCAACACTTCAAGGGAAACATCAGAAATTGATAAAAATTTAATTCACATATTACTGATAGCCGTAAAAATATGCATGTGAAATAGTGGTACACATGTATTCGCTTTGTAATGCTAATCATTTGAATGTCTTACCTCACTTTACATTTGGTTCAATTGGCATAATTCTTTCAGTGCTGCAATGTTCACAAATATGAGTGTATATAATTGAAATTGAACATTTTAAATATTTAATGAAATTATTCTAAGCAAATATTTGTATTTTGAATGTTAAAAATGAATATTAATTTTCTATGATAATTGCTTTGGAGAAAATAGATTATTATTATTTCTTAGAAAAATCTACTAAAGAAAAAAATGAATTTAATGAAATAAAACATATGTAAGTTACAGTAAAATCTAATGAATCAGGACAAAATTTTATAGTCCATAGAAACCTTCATGTTTAACAGAATGTGGAGGAAAAAAGCACCTATAAAATAATACATATTATATTTAATAGTATCAATAAAATTTTTATACTTTATTTTTGAATATTAAAATTAAATAAATAGTTCTATAATGATCCAACTACTTTCATGAAAAATATTTTTCAGAAATGCTAAACTATTTCATAAAGTTCACTACAAGTTGAATTTACAATACTAATTTGGAACAAGCAATAAATTTACTAATAAACTTAAAACAATGAAATATAAGTAATAAAACTAAACTAAACTAAACTCAGCGGCGCAATATTCCATAGAGGGCCAGGGTCTACTGTGCCCATCTCAGTTTTCTTGACCTTTGGGCTCTGGTGCTAAATATAAATAATATAATATATAAATATTTTTTAGAATAACTAATATGCTATGAGATTAAAAATATTTTACTATAACTTAATAAATTAAATAAAATTAAGAGCTGATATGCCTAATAGTTTTAACTACCATGTCTTTTATAAATCACAACGTTTTTAAATGATCATATTTTTAAGTTATATCTGAAAATAGAGCAGAGTTATGTTGACAGTTTGGGGAAGGAAAAAAAATATTAATATAGAAATAAAATTATGTTTAAATATAACATTTTTCTTCCTAAATGAAAAATAAATTTAAACAATTTCAGTATATATTAATGATTTTTATATTCACTACATGTTAATGAATTGTGGAAGGAAGGAATCAATTAAAAAAAAAAACTATGTAAATTAAAAAGAAATCATTACATTACAATAAAAAATGCTTAGGAAAAATATTAAACAACTTAAATAATAATTTCAAGTTAAAACGGATGAAATGCAAAGTAAAATAAAATCAATCTATAAAAAAGGTATAAGAAAATAATTATTTAACAAAAATTAAACAAACCATCTAAATAAATTTAAGAAGAAAAAAAAGATGTTTTTTTTCCATAGACTATTTTTTTAAATTTCTAAAAAATTAGATTAAGATATGATAAGATTTTTTAAACTATAAGATAGACTTATTTTTATAAGCATTTTTTTATACAAATATTAATAAAAATAAGATAGACTATTTTTTTAAATTTCTAAAAAATTAGATTAAGATATGATAAGATTTTTTAAACTATATAAACTTATTTTTAATAAAAATATTAATAAAAATAAGATGGACTACTTTAAAAAAAAAATTATATTGAATGAAATTTTTGAGTTCAATATACGCAATTTAATTAAAGAAAGATGCTCAGAATCGCATTTTTATTAATACATCAAAAACTTTTTGTAAAGTTTCATTCACTAAGTGTTAATAAATAAATTGATAAAAACATTTCAAATTCAAAATATGAGAATTACTTATAATTCCATACGTTTGCAAATAAGTAAAATGAAAAATAACAAATAAAAATACCCTTTTTAATTTCTTTCTTAACTTCTTCCACTTTCAAATCTGTAAACAATGACACATCAAATTGAAGTTCTCTGAACTTGCAGTATAACCTAGCTGCATCTGCATCAGTTCCATTTCTTGTATTTAAACCAGTGTGCTTTTTAAATTCCTACAAAATATTTCCAAAAAATAGATTTTAACCAAGCAGTTTTAAGCTAGTTTAAATTTTGAAGCAATTAAATATAAAAGAAAATCATATTGGTTCAAGAAATGATTTATTAGTTGTTCCAGAATTCTTTTTTTCGAATTTGCACCTTAAATAGTCTAACTCCTAGAAAATTTTAGAAAAAAATAATAATCTGAAGGCAAATACTATTTTCTTTCAACGGGTTTAGCATCAATACTTGAACACAATCAAAAAGATAATATTTTATCATATATATATATGTCATTAGTAGGTTGATATTGTAAATATTTTTAAAAAATAATTCATAATCCTAAAAAATTTCTTTTGATTACTTCATTCACTTTGAATGAAAATATATTTCTTTTATATATTTTAATAAATTGAAGAGTTCAATCATATTCATCAGTTTAAACAAACAGAATTTCTTATATTGTCCTAAAAATAAATAAAATAAAATACTAATACATTTACAATTAATATTAAATGTAAAATTTTTTTTTCAGCGGTTGCTTTTTGGAGCTAGGTGTAATAATTTAAATATAAAGTAAGAAGAAGTTTCGTTTAACTTATTTGTGTTTTTAATTTACCTAATTTTGATAGTTTCACATTATAAAACAGTCACCATGTTACAGAAATTATAGTGTAAAATCACAAAAATGCATCAATAGTAAAATAAGATTCAAAGTAGAAGGAGAAGGCTCAGATCAAGCAGAATAAGTTTTAAATTCGAATGAGGATAAGATTTGCAGCAAAAGGTAAGATATGCAGAAAAAAATTTAAAGTATGCCATATTATTTTTAGACAAAAAATGACAATACAAAAATGAGAAAAACTTAAAGCAAAATATACTATCAAAACTATGAAAAGCAAGATATACTAATCAAAATATAACATAAAGAATTTAAAAACAAAACAATTATTAAAGTAGAGAACACCAACTTTATGATTAAAAATCAAGCATCTTCCTCGCTTAGGATAATTCAGAGAATAAACTTTATCTTTAGCAGAACCAGATATAACAGTAGTAGGAGGAGCATCAGAGATTCTCAAGGCACTAAAAATTAACACATTTTAATTCTTTAAGAATTTTTTTTTTTAAATGTTCCCTTACAATAATTTTTAATTCTGATATAATAATATAGTATGAAGTTACATACAAGTATTCAATATTTCATTTCTGTAAGTGATAATGAAAGCATATTTTATATATTTCATTCAACAATTGTTTTAATAATTTTTCAAAATTGTAATGAATATAAATTCTATTACAAAAAAAAAAAGAGCAGCTGCTAAAATCAGCTCTAAAAAACTCGACACAGATTTAAGGTCTGCCAGAAGATTTTATTTTCGTCTTTTTGCTTCAGAGCTATGTTTTAAAAACAGTGGGATATATCTTTGCATAAAAATGAATATTGGAAAATAATTGTTTATAGTTCCTATGTGTCAAATATTTATATATATATATATATATATATATATATAAAACTATATAAAATGGCTTTTGTGTAAAATGCTTAGAATGAACCATATTATTTTTTTGAGATGAATAGATACACAATATACTAGACAAGAAGTCTTAAAAATAAAAGCATACACTCAAATAAGAGATAAATCACAATAAAGCATCTTTAGCAATATAACTGGGCTAACAAATATAAAATTAATACAGTTGACTCGCGTTATAACGACCCCATCGGGACTGCCCCANCGTGTCCAAATGTTAATAAAGTGTCGTGGAGATCATATTATGTACTAAAAATTTTTGAGTTTGTATAAATTTAAATAAAATAGCATTTTCTCTTAGTTTTCTGAATTTATTGAGTTTGTTTCAATTAATTTGCACAAGGGTGTACATTAATAAAACATAATGACATTCTAACAATTGAATTACAACTGTTAACAATTAAGAATTTTATTTTAAAGTACATATTAAAAAACATAGTATGACAAGAAAAATCTAGTTTCTAATGAAATAGTTTTTTGATGTACATAATTTGCGGTATATATAACGAATTTTTTTTATGTACATAATCTGCAGTATTATAAAGAAGAGTAAACCGAGGAACATAAACGAGGCTTCATTAGACGAAGACATTAATTTGCAGAAGTTACACGTTAACGGGACTGAACGGAGTTGTGCTTGTTCAAGGTCAACCATTCAACCCCAGTTTCCAATAGGAAGTTAGAAAAGAGCTGTGTTCAAATTCAGAGAGGGTCGTTATATTAAGAGTTGACCTTTTTTACGGTCGTTATAGCAAGAGTAAAATAACGTTATCTTTTATGGATGTGAATTGGGACTCCTTCACAGGGTCGTTATATCATGTTGGTCGCTCTATCATAGGGTCGTTATAACACGAGTCGACTGTAACTGGAAGGAATACTTTGACAGGGAATCAAGTAAAAATGCAAACTAGCATACAAAGACTACAAGTCAGATTTCAGAGCTTTTCACATTTTTAATGTAAGTTGTTGGAAGGGGTAGAATAATTAAAGAAATAAATAATAAAATTCAAATTTGATGCTTTTTAAATTCCCAATAATCTGGAACTAAAACTGATTAAAGTAATATATATATATATATAACAAAATAAAACAATAAGTTTCATTTATTGCGCATAAGTTGCAAGTAAACAGAGCTCATTAGATAAGTTCAAAATGAAGATAAAACAAAGGTAAATTATAGACATATGAAAAAGGTTGGGAGGGATAATTAAAAAAAAAAATATATATATATATATACAGTAGGGAACCGATTATCCAGAGAGATCGGGACCATCACTATTCCGGATATAACTGATTTTTCCAGATTTCTGAATCGCTACAAAAAGCCTTTTTTTTTATTGTTAAACCCAACTTAAAAAAATTATATTTAGAAATAATCTTAAAAAGAAGAAAAAAGGTTGAAGTATTACACTAATGATTATTTCCAAAATGATGGTAAGGTAAACATCTTTCAAAAAGGAAAGAAAATCCTAAAATTTTATGAGGAAAACATAATTTCTTTTTTTTAAAAATGGCGGGGAAATTTATCGAATTTCGTTCCGGTTTTTTGGTTTTCTGATTTCCGGATAACGGGTTCTGTACTGTATATATATTTTTTGTTGAAAAGGGGGATAAAGGAATAATGTCATAGCAATGTAATTGAAATATGTAACATAATTTACAAAATCAGATTTCTGTTGCAACTAGAAAAACAACAATGGTGCAAAGATATTTTAAGAATGTAACGCACCATCATTTATGTTAACCGTATTAACAAGGCTTATTAATTCTAAAATAAGAAATTAAAAGTAGCAATCAAACTGATTAAAGTAAATATAATAACTATTATATGACTTTTTAGAATTACTTATAATTGCCATATTCAGCAAATGCAGTTATAGGTCTTTTAATTGTTTCATTTTTCATAAACCTATTTTAATGCTAACATGGGTGAATATTTAATATAATGGGAAAACATTTAATATTGTGAAAATAAGTTTTGGTGTCATTTACACTTAATCCACTTTTCGGTGACTTTATTTTCTAAAAAACTAGCCGTTAAGAATGTAACACATTGCGTTACATCTGCCAACACTCAATTTGTAATTTAAAAAAAAAAGACTTTTTAAATGATTGAAAGTCACTAAAAAATGGAGTAAGTGCAAATGACACCAAGACTTATTTTAACAATAAGTATTACAAATGATTGATTATTTTTAACACTGAATTATAAACTTTTAAAGTCTTGAGGTATGGCAGATATAATTGGTGGAATTATCCATAAGTAAATGGCTACGGCTTTTGATGCAACAGTTTAACTCATGTAAAATACTTACTCAAACAATCCTCTAGCATCTGGTTCGTCGGATTTCACTGATTCCATTTTTTCATAAATTTCACCTGAAAAAAGAAATTATGACAACCTTACTTCTTTAAAATGCACGTACAAATAATATTTTATTCCCAGAAAAAAATATTGAAAACAAATAAAATTTTTGGGATACAAATAAAAAATGACAGTTCGTAATTAAAGCAGCTATTATATGACTTATGTTTAATCGTATGATGTCATTGTGATAAAAATGTTTCACTTGACAACGTACGATGGCTGTTGTTTTAATGAGAACACATTTTATCACAAACATAAACTGCGTTTTATTAAATGCGATAAGATATGCTAAAAAAAGTTATGACAAAAGAAATGAAGTATAGAAGATAAGTTGCTATAATTTCACTGTACGATTTAATAACAGATTTGCGACAGCATGACATTTATTTAAAATATCTAAAAAGAGAAGAAAAAAAACACAAAAATCTAGCAAATATTAAAATGCTGTTTAAATAATAATTACAAAGTTAGTTTTGCTTATGAGTTTTATGTACGGAATAAAATACCCATTGTTCTCTTCTTGTTTACAAACAATGAAACGATTAGGCGCTCATTTCATTACTCACCGATGAGATCAGTGCAAGAAACGTGTGGTGGTTTTGCCACTGACGCTCCATGGTAACGAGAAAAATGACAACAAATTTTTGATGCTTTTTTTTTCTTTTCTCATTTCCCCCCCTCAAAAATGATATTCTCCTGTTTAGAGCTAACAGGTAGATGTATCAACAGCTTTAAATTTTTCTACTATTGTTAACTTTGAATATGAAGTTGTTCAAATGTAGTAGTATTTTATTTACGTCGCACTGGTCCTGCACAGCGGGCTATTCGCCACGGTTTAGGAGTCCCGCAGTGGACTGTTAAGGCACGGTTCCCAGCAGATCACCGAAGTCAAGCACCACTGGCTGCAGTCAGTGTGCTGGTGGGTGACCAATTGGATCTGTCTACGTAGGAACCGAAGATGTGCGGTATTGGTCCTCGAGCTGTTCGACCTTGAAGTGCTCGACTTCGCGTGCTGGTCGTCGGGCTACCGAAGCGGAGTTGCCCTCCTCTCTGCAGAGAATCAAAATTGTGATGGCATGTCTTCGGATCATGCTCAGGGAAGTTTCCCAGACAGTCGCCAATAGCCCATTGCACTGCTCTAGTGCGACGTAAATGAGCAACAACAACGACAGCAGTCACGGCTTAGGAAGCATTCGAAGACATGTCAATCATGTCATCACAGTTTTGATCATCTGCAGAGGGGATGGCTGGCTCCTCCGCTTTTGGTAGCCGACGCCTTTGCGCAAGAAGTCGAGTCTTTTACGGTAGAACAGTTTAACGAGGACTGATACTGCACATCCTCGGTCTCTTTGCAGACTGATCAAAATTGTCACCCACCATTGCACTGAACGTAGCCAGTGGTGTTTTACTTCAATGATATACAGGGAACTGATCAGTCCTCTGTGGAACAGTGAGGTAGTTACATCATATGGGCAAAGAAAAAAAAGATAAAAAAGCACAATCATTTCAATATTCGATAAATAATGGAATTTATTTTAAACAATGAAATATATTTAATAAGATTTAGGAAACTAACAGAATTATTAAGCAACTTGTTATTTCTTATGATAATACATACGTAAAAGGAATATTTAAAATAATATATTATAGGCAAAAAGGTTACTTAAAAACAATATACTGCTTCCCAATATATAAATATATTCAATAATTTTATTACATTAATATATTGATATAGATTAATATGCATCAATACATAAATACTAGCTGATTGCAAAAAAAAAAGTGTGTATATTTAAAGAAAATATGTTTTGAGGTCTGATTCTGTACCTTTATTAAAAGTTAACACTCATTAATTAGCATATTTGACGCCATTTCTTTAAATCAATATAATTGGTGCTCAGTTTGCGAAAATTCGATCATATGAAGAAAAGTTATTTAAGATGATATCTTATTTTATTTTGAGCACTATACATTTTAGAAAGTCTACCCGAGTGAATATGGCAGCTAAGAGTTTTGGCACCGTTAACCCTTTAACTGGCCTTTTATTTCTAGTAAAGGTAAATTAAAGTATTTTTGGAATTGAAATTGTTTTAAGAACAGTAATTGATATATAAAAAAAAAACTCATTTAGTTTGGTGGTAAATATATATAACATGACCTATTAGGAACTTACTGACTTTTATTTTTCTTTATTTATAAAATAAATTCCTTAAATGCTACAAACTTCAGTAGGCATTATGTATTTTATAGCTTTTATACGTTTTTTAAAAGTGACAAATAGTTACCAATTTTATTCAAACTCATTTCAAGAAAGCTGAAGTTATTGAAAAATGGAAACCTAAATTAAAAGTGGTAAAACGTGGTGGTAAGTATACTTACCACGGCCTTTAAAAGGGTTAACCTTAATGGTAACTCAAGGGCAAATGTAGGTCGGAATGCCAAGCAATGGCCTCTTACCTTAGAAAACATCAGTGTAGGGAATACAATTTTTTTTTAAATATTATGTTATTTAGGCTGGAGTGGAGCTGGACCAGCGGCCAAGTCCTGGGCTATATGGTTAAGGGTTTTCATAACNATCACCAAACAGTAGGGAATACAATTTTTTTTAAATATTATGTTATTTAGGCTGGAGTGGAGCTGGACCAGCGGCCAAGTCCTGGGCTATATGGTTAAGGGTTTTCATAACCTAGGTACATGCTCAGGGCTTGGAGGAAAGAAAAAAAAAGTGAAGGGAATACAGAACAAGTTAAAAACCGACAATATCGCACACATTACTCCCTTTGTTATTATCCAATTTTATTCGGTTATTATTAATAAAAAAAGGCTATTATTATTTTGGAGATCAAATTTTACTACAGATGATGTAGGGTAAACTAACCAGTGAAGGAACACTTAAGCTTCGCTAACGTTTTAAAAAATCATATTAATTTCGAAATTCATAATTTTATGACAGTGTCAGCAAATTTGTTACTAATTGCAAATTATGTAAAAAATTGTAGAGAACTTCAACTTACATAATATTGTTTCCAAGTTTTGGAGGTTCAAATAACAAGTAGTAAGAAGACCAAGTGAAGGAACAGCTCTTACCAGTGAATGAACACCCAGTAAAGAAACACTTCATTTTGGTTATTTCTTAATGCTCTTTATGAATTTATAAGCCATTCAAATATTTAAAAATAAGCCTATTCCTGAAATTATAACATATAAATACTTGGAAAATGTTAACTTTTTTTTGTAATCATGAATTGAAAATTAAAGTGTCAACATATTAACACATACTGTACTGTTCATTCACTGAGAAATCTGCAGTAAAGGAACATGCCTGTTTCCTCACTGGTTAGAAGTTGTTTTTCGTATTTTTAACATACTTTTGATTCCAAACATCACTAAAGGTACAAGAAAATTAAAGTTTATCTTTTATTTTCATTAACTTAGAAAAAAAACCAGCAAAGGAACACTTGTTCCTTCACTGGCTTTTCATCGTTTGGTGATCCAATGAATAAACACCCCCTTATCTTAGTACTTTGTTATGCTAAGATGCTTAAAAAAATAAAACGTAACTTCAATAACTGTATTTTGAATTCTCTTTTTCACAGTGAGAAAAATAAAACTATTACANGTGATCCAGTGAATAAACACCCCCTTATCTCAGTACTTTGTTATGCTAAGATGCTTAAAAAAAATAAAACGTAAATTCAAAAACTGTATTTGAATTCTCTTTTTCACAGTGAGAAAAATAAAACTATTACATGCGATTAATTCCACTTCAAACATATAAATACAAACACTCACCTTATAATTTTTTCAAAGAAGCAAGGTGTTACAGAGATAATAACGAATTCAAATTTTTTTCCCAGAGAAGTCTATTTGACCAGGTAATCTAAAACATTGCTAGATGACTTCCTATTGTTTGGCAGTAAGCTATTACTACCAATCAATCTAAAGAAAAACTTTCAAATTCTTATTAATCAATATATATGAAATGTTCCTTCACTGGGTAGTATTCTTTCACTGGTTGGTTTACCCTATAGTAGAACTCTTTATCTATGGCAACACTTCGTATTCAACACTAGCGTTGGCATCAACTGAGTGCTGGAGGTCAGCTGATTGCCCTTAGAAATATTTTAGGCCGCCCAGTGCTGGATTACCCATTAGGCCAGACTAGGCATGGCCTGGGGCCCCCAAAGATTACGGCCCCTTTAAAATGGATTTTTTTTAAAACACATTTTAAAAAATTAAGATGTTCTCCGTGAAATTAAATTTGATAACATTATAGATGAGTTTATTGATCGGAAGAGCAGAAAAAAGGATTTTTGAATACCAATTTTATAGTTTCGTTGATTTTGTAAAGCGTTAATAAATTTAAAATTTTTTCAAAATGTTATGATTATTTTTTAGTTCTAATTTAACAAAATAAAGTAAAATTTAATTTATTATTATCTATTTTAATTTTAAATATGCTTTCTTAGATGAAATGATACATAAATACTTTTATATTTGAATAAATATAAAATATACGAGAAAAAAAATTTAATCTAAGGGCTCCAAAAATTCGAATGACCTAGGGCCTAGCGTATGACGCCCGGTGGCTGAGCGTGCTACAGGTCCCTGGTTCGATCCTCGGGCCGGGCAAAGTTGACTCAGCCTTTCATCCCTTCAGTGGGTCGATAAATGAATACCAAGCATGCTTGGGAACTAAACACTGGGGGTTCCGCGTTCGGCTGATCACCTGACCGGAGCATCTGCTTTTGCACCCCAGAGCCCAAGGTCAAGAAAACTGAGATGGGCATAGTAGGCCTCGGCCCTCTAGGGCTGTCGCGCCACTGAGTTTTAGTTTAGGGCCTAGCGTACGCTTAATCTGGCCCTGAAGCCACCATAGCTAACAACTAAGCACGCAGTATAATAGGTGATAGTTCATGACAGAACAAGTCAAGAGTGGTCAGTCTGGTTGGAGAGAACATGATGAACTAACCCATCAGACACAGGAGTCGTTGGCGAAGGGGGGACGGTAGTGGGTTTATCTCCTCCTCAATAATTAAAAATCTCTAAAAGTCTCCCTCAATATTTCCGACAAATAAAGAATGATTTTTGAATAGTCATCGATTAAAATTTATCAAAGTAAAAAAATGAGAGAATAATTAATCTTTTTGCAAAGATTTAGCTGATATATATGACGATAAAAAATTAGGCTGCTTTAAAAAATAAAAATAAACGAAACGTTCATTATCAATTTCACATTTTATCGATTTTTTTTGACTGATTAGCGCAATTTTTCTNCATCATATTATTGCATCATATCTTTTGCAGTATTTCACATGTTCCGAGTTCTTTCCTTCAACCTTTAAACCTCAGCATTATCATATTAATACTATAAACATTAGAATATTTTCTAATTAGGCTATCTTAAAAATATTTTTTGGCGATATTTTATTAAAATGTAGCCAAATAAGGGATAAAATACAAAACATGGCAAACCTTAAGAATTATTCACAATGAGATATTAACTTTCCAAAATTTTTTTTGGCCTTATTACCTCTGAGAATCAATACATTTCTGAAAGCTCTTATGAATGGTACAATTATGTTTAGATTTGAACCCAAATTACAATAACAAAACTGCATAGAATATTAGGCTTGTTCACACATCGCCTCGTAGTCATAACATAAGCGGAGGGATACACCGGAAATTTTCTAAATTTCTTCCGGTTTAAGGACGCTTGTTATTGTTTACATTAGACCACCCATCCATATGGTTTTTCCCCCTTCTTATTTGTGAAATTTAGAAAGCTATTGTGACTGTGCATTTTAATTTCGGGACCCTCAAAAATTGGACCTCTGCGACGCCTATGCCGTCAGACATACTTTGGATTTGAATCTCGATCACCAAACACTTAGGCTCTATTTCTAAATTATTATTTTGTAAATATTCATTGACATCTATTAAATAATCTGTTATCACTGTCAATACTAAAAGAAAACATTTACATCTATCGAAATAGGATTGATAAACTGAACCAACAGATTCCTCTTTCGCATGAAAAATAAACAAATAACGACATGTGTATTTTCCAATAAGACCAGCATTAATGATTTAATTAGTAAATAATTTCAGTAAAATATTATCGACTTCATTTCTATGTTCAGAAGGCTTTGTATCTTTGGCGACTTATTCGAAATATTTTGTGACACATTTGCGTCGCAATCTACAGATTGGGAAGCGACCGTTACATCATATGTTTACGTTGCGACCGTTATATGATATATCATATCTGTTTAGTTTGAAATAATTAAAAATAAATTAATGTAGATATAAAATACAAACATAGACTTTTAAACTGTAATTACAAAGTAGTAAAGGGGAATTTCTTGTATCACTTTCATTAATTCGAAAAAAAAAAAAAAACAGTTATGCTACTTCTGTTAACGTTTTAGATTTATTCTAAGCAGCTATTTCAAGAAGTGTGAATCTCGATCTAAATAAGCGTTTCAGGTTTTTTTATTTTTTATTTTATTTATTAATTTTTTTATAATTTCTGTCTCTTTATTTATTTATTTTTGTCATGAGAGATCTCTTTTTTTGTGTCTAACAATGTAAGATTCAAAATATCCTAAATTAAAAAACATTGTAGGGAAAAAATAAACAAAAATCTTAAAATTAGGGTTATAAAAAATTAGGCTGCTTTAAAAAATAAAAATAAACGAAACGTTCATTATCAATTTCACATTTTATCGATTTTTTTTGACTGATTAGCGCAATTTTTCTTTTTGAGTGACTAATACAGCATATCTTTCATATTGTTTTCTTTATAATTTTTTTATTATCGAATGTTGCAAAAGATTCCAGTAAATTTCGAAAAAAAAGTAGTGATTATTCATGTTGAAGTATGATCAGGTTTGTAGATTGTCTGAAACTGAAAGTGAAACTAAAATGTAGTTCATCGTACCAACAAGCTCGATTAAATTTCTCAGGTGTTAATTTTACATAGATTTCTACGTGTGCTTCTTTACAGATTGAGGTGACTACAGTATTATTTTTTTTATCCTTTAAATAATTAAATAAAATGCAAATAAATTAAGTTAAAATATAAAACAATGCAATATAAAGATGAAGTCGCAAGTCACTAAAATGGATTGTTTTTAAAATGTAATTTACCTCAGATAACATGCTTGATTATATTTTTCAGGTGTGGTACAGCAAATCGTGTCATTTTTTAAATCGTGTTTTGTCAATTTGAAATCAGCGTTTTCATTGTGAATTAAGGTGAGTACTGCATTTTTCTTTTTTTAAAATAATAATGTTCGATTACTATGATTTTGTTCTCATGTGGTCAGTGGGAGAAGTGTGCGCAGCGACGTAGCCGTGTTGCTAAAGGTGATTTTTAAAGTGAATGCTGTATTCAGAGAAGAGGCATAAAATTGATAACTATAATGATTCTGGTTTTCGTGGTCAGAGGGAGACTTGTGTGTAGTGGCGTAAAGGCGTAACTAAAGGTGAATTTGGCCTAAATACTATTATAGCGAGAGAAGAAGTGTAATTGTTTACTATTTTAATTCTGGCTTTCATGGTCATTGAAGGAAGTTCGTGTAGTGGTGTAAACGCTAACTAATGGTGGATTTAGGCTGAATACCATGTCTAGAAAAGATGAATAATTGTAAACTAAATTACGGCTCTGATGGCCAATGAGGGAAGTGAGTGCAGATGCTTAGCCGCTTAGTTAAGGATGGCTCGAGGGTGAATGCCATATCCAGAGAAGAGGCATAATTGTTAAAAACTATAATTCTGACTTTCATGGTTAGGGAGAGACGAGCGTGCAGTTGCGTAAAAGCGTAGCTAACGATGGATTTTACCTAAGTGCTATATCTAGAAAAGAGACATAATTGTTAAAATGCCTCAAGTCATTTTTTCAAAAATCAATACCATAAAAATCCTTAATTAGCTTTAATTTTTCATATTTCTAAGTTATTAGTTTTCAAATTTTTAAATTCTGAAACCTTAAAAAAATAATTTTATCAGATTGATGCTGAGCACGTGTGACCGACCCCTTAGGCGCTAATTGGTTTTTGAAAAAAATTTAATATTTGCCATTTTATATGCATTTTACAAGACATAATGAAAATGAAATTTTGTTAATTTATAAATGGTATAACAATAATTACAATTTCAATTACCAAATATTTATTATCAGATATTTTAGCCATTGCCTTTATTCATAATTATATTGCAAGAATAGTTATATCATAAGAATCTATAAAAACAAGAAATAAAATGCTTACCCGTAAAGAGAGACTAATGATGACGTAGATCACTGAGATCCAATCTCTAGTAACCCGAAAGTCAACTAAGCTTTAGTATAGGAATGAATAGTTCAGTTGCATTCTAAAATGTAAACTAATTACATATTTTACATAATACAATATTCATTACAATATTCATTAAAATTACAATATTCATTAAAATTTAAAAAAATCAGTAAAGAAGTCTTATGACACAAGCACATGACTCTAAGACTTGAGGAGCAAGGTGCTGCTAAAGTAATAAATTTTTTTTAAAAAGTACTATTATTATTATTTTTTTTATATTCGTCGTTGAACAGCTGACCCAATTTTCGGCTTACGACTACTAATGTTCAACTCCGAGGCCTTGTAATTTTGAACCAATCCAGAAGACAAAGAAACTCCGTGATCAGTACCCCCAGAGGTATTGATTTATTATGAGAACATGGAGGAGTTCGCGACTCCACAGATTTGACGTGCATCAGTCACCATTTACTACATTCGGAGTCTTCAGCCGGCGAGAATCGAACTCACGACCTCTTGGACATGGGTCCAGTGCCCTACCAACCAGGCTATCTCGACCAAAAGTAGTATTATTGAAAGACTTAAAGCAGTTAGAAGCGTAAATGATTTTTTTTCTGAAAGATTAAACAATTTTTCAAATAAAGCAAATAGCAAAGACCGCAACAGCCGATAAAAATAAATTGAATGCCGCTTATTGTTGTCAGCCTCGGCAACGCTAATCTAGGTGGAAATTTATTTTTGTAAACAATTGTAAAAATGCAATGCATTTCGTATTATTATCATTATTTTATTATAATTTATAATATTATGATTTATAATATTATAATTTATAATATTATTATTTACAATATTATAATTTATAATATTATTATTTATATATTTTTGTTGCACTTATTATTATGATAATCTGAAATGATATTGTTTGAACGAATTTGTAGGAAATATGCAAGGCGGAGACGAAGAAGACGTAGGTTTTGGGTGCAGAGAAAAAGAGTATCTATAAAAATATTTGTTCATATATTCCCTTAATTTAAAGTTTTTGTCGATATATAGTGATTTTAATAATCTTTTACAATTGTGATTCATGTTTATTTATTTATAGGGTATAAAGTAAAACTATAAAGATACAGACGTAATGGATATTTGTAATTTTTTTGATATTTTAGTAACTGTATAATGGGAAAAAATATGCATGAAAAAATAAAAATCTGTTTTATCAGGGTGTTCCATAATCACTGCACTTAAATATATATTTTCAGAATAAAAAATGAAATAAATAAAGTAAGCACAATAGCAAAAAATTATTCCTAAAGCGGAAAATAAGAAACAATGAAGTTATTGACATTTATGGAATTATCAATGCAGAGGTAGGAGTATATGCCAATAACTACCATTTCACTCCGATTTATTTCCCTCGAAAATCAATCAGGTATTGATAATTTTATTTCCATCAATCAGGCATTGACAATTTTATTAATCAATCAAGTAATGATAATTTTATTCCCGATTTCCTCAGTAGTGACTTTGAGATTTCGTTGGAGTTTTTTTCTCTTAAATTTTAATTTGCGATTCCTAATATATACATTTCCTTCACTTTTGACAGAAGTTCTTGTTAACAAACATTTATCAAGAATATAACTGTCTTCCCGAATAGAATATTCTATATTTACACATATTTATCTTATTCTATTTACACACCGATCTAAGCCTCCAGTAACGTTCACGTTATCTTCAAGGAGTTTAAACATAGTAACGAAAAAGGTAAGTCAGATTCAGGATATAGAATATAAAAACATGATGATATAGAATGCAGAGTATAAATATTAGGTTAAAAAGGATGTTTACACAATACAAATGAATATAGTCAACAACACAGTCTGTAAAATTATGCAATTAATATTTTTGGATTAGATCATTATCAGCCAGTTTGTATACTTCTTAATATTCAGTAAAATATATTACACCGAAGGGTAATAAAATTATACTAGTGGGCTGCGCCACCTGCTTGCTGACGCTCGCCAAACCCTGAAAATTGCTACGCAATCTTATATGGTTTGCTTCGCAAACCAAGCTCGCTTCTAACTTAGGTACATTGGAAATGCACAGAATTCTAAGAATTGAAAACAGTCATTCAAATCCATATAAAAACTTTTTTTTTTTTAAAAATTACATCTTTTTAGTAAATACTAAGTCATTAAAATAAATTTGAATTCAAATAAATGACATGTAATTCGTTATACCTATTAGAAACGTGCTATAGTATAATTCGTAATATAAATCAAAAATCGTCAAATAAATTCGTAATATATAAATTCGTGAAAAAAAGGGCTTTCGACAAAGACTACTCACTTCTGCCTAGCTTAATAGTATGAGATTGCCGCAGCTGATGCTCTCTGGTTATTTCAGTTTCCGTTTTTAAAAGCGCTATATGTTGAGCCACCTCAGCTAGATTTGGCACGTGACATTTTTAGCGGCAATCATTGGCCGATTCGCCGTGTAAGAGAAATAGTAACGTAAACAAAACAAAGCAAACGTTGCCACCGGCGGAAAAGAAATACAGTCAAAATTTGGGAGCCACGTAAGAGAATTATATATATTAGATTATGTTAGTGAGGTTAGTGGAATAACGTTGCAGAATTCTCCCAAGTAATTAAACGAACTTGTCATAAAATCGTTCAGCTTTAGAAATAATTAGTTCGTAATATTCCCATTCGTATAATAAAATCATAGTAAAGTACCGTTCATTCGGTGATTTCTTGTTTTTCGTTACGTTGGTGATTTTAACTCACGAGTGTCTACAAAATCTTTTTTTTTTCGTTCATGCTGGTTGTCAAAAGGAAACTATAGGTGCGTATGGGAATTACTTCAAATCTTATCTGCGGAAACATACAAAAAGATATGTAAAATTGCGAAATCTCCCTAATGATTGCTGAAGCTTAATAAAATTATATCATGTTTTTTCTTGCCACCCCTCATTTAGTTTAAAAATTTTAAGATTATTGAAAAATAAATAAAACTATAACTTGTTATACTCACCTTTTCAGTTAGCTAAAAAAAATATTCATAAAATAACATTTGTTTTTCAGAGAATTAAAAAGGACATCAAAGACTGAAATTAAAGCAAAAAGTTCTAAAAGTATTTTATCAGGAGCTTATGATGATGAAGTTTATTCAATGCAGAATTCAGACAAAATAATAGGAAAATGCTTTATCTTCAATCATATGGTATGTATTTTAAAATGAAAATTATGAAATGCATTAAGCATAAGAGTATTAAATATTTTAAAATAAAAAACCTAAATCTGAATTGTTCAATTTTATTAGAAAGTCTTGTACCTATTTTGTAAAAAAATTAGGTTAAAGAATAGATTCAGAATTGAATGAAACCAGTATCTCAAACTAGTTCCGCTTAAGAGTTGACACATAAATTAGTGATACAGTTAACAATGATGAGAGTTAAGCTGCGCTCTTGTCCATAAATTAAGGATAATGTACCGTGCGTCAAATAAAGGTTCTGAATCAAAACAAACGTGACTCATTCATAATGTCCATTTATTAAGCAAAAGATAAAGAACAAAAAAGATAATGTATGTATGTTTCTATTCATAAAGACTATGATCTTGCTCCCTGGAGCAATAATAAAAAAATATCTTTTACAAAAGCTAAATATTACATGTTTTGTGTGATGGTTAATACATTGTATGCCTCTCATGCGATGAAATACAGTCCATACAAATCCTAAGCACGCTGAGTATCAAATTATTGAGCTTAACTTGGGGAAGATTACCCCACTTAGCAAGCAATACTCTCCGAAGTTCCGGTACACATGTAGGAGGAAGTTGACTGTCTGCAACTCGTCGACCAAGCATGTCCCACACATACTATCTGATTAGAGTCAGGTGAGAATGTTGGCCATTTCATATTTTTGAAATCCTCAGAATAAAGGCATTCGCTTAAGATGTTTGGTGAGGACAGGCGTTGTCACCCATAAGCATAACTTCTGTGCTCAAGGCACCTCTAAATAAACATACCTGTTGTTCAAGAATGATGTCTCGATAAAATTGGCTTGTGATGTTTCCGATATGAGCATACCATACGATCCACACCAAACGATTAATCTTGCACCCCCGCAACGTTCAATGATGTTGTTTTGTGGTAACGAGTACCTATGACGTTGTCCACATGACGTGAATCAGACTAGAAACTAAACCTGGACTCATCGGAAAACAGCACACAAGCTAACCATGATGATGACCACATTGTATTCTCTACTCCAGGCTAATCGCTGACGACATTAAGTTGATAAGAGTCAGTAGAATAATTCTGACAGTCCTGCGCTTAATTAGACCAATAGTTTCTAAGCTTCTGTACACGGTTTGTCTTGAAACTGTGGTGCTCGTAGTTGCAGATAGCTGACGAGACAAATCGAACGTTGTGCAGTCTTGGATGCTGCCCACCTGCTTCTCTTGACAGTTACTTCCAAATACAAGTCTTAATACGGTGTTGTAACTAGGGGATGACCTGTACTGTAACGTCTGTTGACATTTCAATCATCTCGGAATCGTTGTCAAAGTCTAAAGATTGCACTTTGGACAACCACTTAAAAAATCATCGACTGTGTCATAAGTATTTGGTTATGGCACTGAGCGGCTTACAGAACGCTTGTAAACCAATCTTCCTTCTAAGTCGCCATTTTTTGTATACCCCTTTATTACACTCTCGTCATTGTGACGTACTGTAATTTGCATGTTATTCTGTAAGATAATTCTGCAGGTAAAATTTTTACTTCAAGGTTCAATTTACCTGTGATTTAAAATTATCCTTAATTTATTGAAATGAGTATAATTCGTACAAAATCCCATTGTTGGCTAACAAGGCATTAAATTAATTATATTCGCTGAAAAGCTAAAGCAATTAAAAATACGATTTAGGTAAAATTCTTGAATTTTATCATGTCAAGAAGCTAATGTATTTTCTAGAGTTAATAGTATATGGGCCTACACCTTTAGGTGTAAGGAGAGGATTGAGGCTAATAGCATTAAAGAGATTTTTTCTAAATATTTAACACATTTATTTTTATTTTTTTCCCTATATCTGATATGCATTTCTCAAGATATATTCATTTAAAACAATCAATACCCCCTTTTCATTTCGCAATTACAGCACCATCTGTGAACCAAAATACAAAAACCTGTAATGCCAAACTTAGGTACTTTTTTTGGAGAATCTAAAATTTTAATAAAAATAGGAGTTCTCATTCGATATTTTGAAGTAAGTTTATATATTTATGATGATATACATGAAACTATATCTACCTATCTATCTATCTAGTATCTATCTACCTATCTAATATATATATTGAAGTAAGATATTTAGTTTTGAATCTTTAAAAAATTTTTTAGCGCGAATATTCTTAGATTTTCGATTCGATTCGCCTTTTTCCAGATATTTAATTATTTCTCTACTTTTCAAAGATTCTGCAGCTTTCAATAAATGAAATGTTTTGCAGAATTCCATAATTTCAATACACTTCCGTTTTTTCAATTTCCCATCAAAAGTAAACAGGTTATGAATGTCAATAAAATATTCAAGTAACTATTGTTTACTACTTTCGTTTTTGCATCAAACATTGATAGTAAGAAAAGAGTAAAAATATATCTTGGCAAGTTTGGCGATTTCATGTGAGAATTTATTATTTGTGTATTTCTTGATAAATCTGGAAAAAAATGAGTTAATGATTGAGATGTTAGTGAAAAGAAATTGACCGATTTTGTAAATATTTACGAACACTAATAAACATTTTATTTCATGCTTAATTCATGTTTTTAATTTTTATGCTTTAACCCTTTAGCTGTTAACTACGAAGAAAGTTTGACCTCCTAATTCAATTTGTAGGTGAGATCATTGTATTTTCAATCTTACAAACTATTTTCAGACTGTACTCAATTCTAAAACTCCAACGAGATGAAATCTTTACAATTTTGTCTAATGTTTGAGAGTTAAAGGGTTAAACTTCGTATTTATATTAATGTGTTATAGAAACAATTTAAAATATACAACTCAATTGATTATTGCACATTACTTTAAAGACATTTACNATACATGATTTTTTTAAGCCCTCATGAGTTTTACTAAACAGTGTCAAACAATGGCTTCATATTCTATTTCTGTTTTTAATAAATTAAAATAAATTTGTACACAAAAAAATATAGTAAATACCTTTAAAATCATAGATTAAAACTAAATAAATGTAATGAACATGGATAAAGATATTATGTAGAGTAAATATTTTATAAGTAAATTTTACCTTTTGTATTTCTGTATGGGTAGGTACATTTCTGTCTGTATAACCTTGATGCCTAAACCATGATATTATAGTTTGGAGAGACCTATAGGCACATCCCCATCCATTATCATCCATGTGGTCTTGCATATAATGATGGTAACTATATGTACCTTGGACAATCGAAGATTTACCACCCGACACTAAAATAATTTTTTTTTTTAAATTATAAAAGAGAACATTAATTATGATCAACTTGGAAAAATTTATATAATCGGACTTCTATTTAACGAACTTCCATTTTGTGAGTTTCTCAACTTCGCAATTTTTCTTGAGGAACCAAAGACATTTTAGAAATTTCTTCGTAAAATAACTTCCAAATAGGGAAGTAAATTTTCTATTTAACAAACTTCTCTTTAAGATCCGCTTTCCCTACTTCCCAAAAATATTTCTGAACATTTTAAACTTGTTAAAGCATTTCATGGGGTAAATGCCCTTAAATTGATTTTTAAAGCCAATTAATTTTTAGAGAAAACAGTGAAATCTCTTTCCCTTTTTGTTTGCATTTCAAACGAAAAACGCAAACAAAATTTACGGATTTTATCAGTAGCAATTAAGTTTAAGAACGTATATGGTAATGCATGTATAATATTACTTTTGAAATAAATGCAAATGTAATTTTATGCATAAATTTAGCTTCTTTTAGTTGAAGATGTATGTAGCATGATACTGTAACACTGGATTATGTTTTGCTCTATTCTTGCGTTCCATGCAGATTTCTTTTATGGTTAAGATTTATAAAATAAATAGTAGATACTATTTTGCAAAATAAAGGTGTATTAATTGCTACTTTAATTATGTCTAGTGTTTATGAATTTAAAACCTGCTTTGTGTCGTTTAAGTGTTTCAAAAGGTGATTTTCTATTAACGAATTTTCTATACAACGAACTTATTATCGGGATTTAGCGACTTCGTTAAATAGAGGTCCGACTATATATATATATACATATAAAATAGATTCTTTTATTAATATATCATGGGAAATCGTTTTTTCACAAAGAGTCATAAAAAGTCAATATTCCAATTGAAAGATTATTTTCTAAAGTAAATGAGTTGGTTCTTGGTGCTTGGGTTTTTAGAAATATACTCATTAAGAAAATCCTAAAAATTCCCTGCAGTCTATATGGCATCACCTGTTGAAACAAATCGAAATGGTTGAGTTTTCTTTTTTGGATGGCGTTCTATTACGTTAAAGAATTTCTTGCTACCAATTCTCTTACATAATACCTAACTAAAGAATGGGGCAACTCTAATTTGTGTGGTTCTTTTCATATTTTTATGGCTAAAATATTCTATTATGTATCCTAACATTCCTGCTGGGAAAAACCTCAATGCGGACTATGGAAACCATTAATGTAAAGTGTGAATAAACATCATCTGAAGAATCATAATATGTCTATTTATTTGAAATAGGCCTATTTTTTGATAACTGATAGCCATTGAAGAAAATTTGTCTAAGAATGTTTAATCGTGTTTGGAAATAAATTAGTTTCGTGTTATTTCAGATAAGAAGGAATACCACAAAGAAGCAAGCTGTTTTGTATGCTGTGTTTTAACTCATGGAGAAGTTAATCATAATGAAGAATACTTGTGTGCTAACGATACTATCTATCCAACAGAAAGTCTATTTGCTCCATTCGACGGTGACAAATGTGATTCACTAGCAGGAAAACCAAAGATATTTTTTATTCAAGTAAGATGGTACTTATTACAATACCTCCTTAAAATGTTCCGTGTTTTGTTCTGCCTTTTAATAAAAAGTCTACATAAAATCAAAGTAATCATGTTGTTGGTATCCCTATTTGCCTCTTGGTTTACAACCATTAGTAAATTTTTTT